ACCAGCAGCAGCAGCAGCACCCCGCGCTTTCGGCGGAAAATTTCCTGAAGAAGGAGCGGAGTTTTCAGGCGAAGATGGAGTGGCGGCTGGATGACCCCCCGCCGCCGGCGACGCCCGAGGTGAAGCCGAGGCTGGTTGTGCAGGAGAAGCGGAAGGAGAAGCCGAGGGAACGCAGCTTTCAGGCGAAGATGGAGTGGAGATTGGACGATCCTGCGGCGGTGGATGATGGGACGACGAGGACGATACCGGGAGCGGCACCGGGTGCGGGTGCCGTGGACGACGAGTACACCAGCGTCATCAAGGCGCGGATCGACCAGCACATGAAGATTGGGGTGCTGTGGGAGGGCAGGGTGAAGTCGCTTCTGTTCAGCCTCGGCAGCGCGATTGACCTGCGCAAGCTGGACTCGCCGTTCAGGACCCTGGGCGTGGAAATCCAGTTTTCATCATGAGAGCGGCGTCCATTATGCACGTCGGGACTGATGAGATGCGACGACGAGGAGAGAATATTGCCCGATACGACGTGAGCTCCGACGCAGCGGTCTCAACCCCCGACACGGCTTCGGTCTACCAATCCAGCAGTATGGGTCTGCAGGGCGCAAACCGAAGTGACGCCGCTGCAGCAGACGGCGCGCGGGAGAAAATATTGTGGTTGCATGAACTGGAATGGAAAGGGATACGACGGTCGTCGCCCACGCCGTACCTCACGGTTAGGGGGTGTGCATAGGGTTGGTCGGCTGGCTACGCCCAGAGACCAGGGTCAAAAGTTCCTCATCAACAGAGTCTCCATTCGTTTTGCGCAGCAATATGGAGGGTTCATTTCTCGAGATTCCTCCTCCCATGTCCTCAGCCAAGCCATACATGGAGGCCCTTCAGTGGAGGAGGCGGCCGGCTTGGCTAAAGCTTGGTTCGTTGATGGAGCTGACTGCCAAGCTTCCTTGGCGATGAGTTGGTTCTACGACTTGAACATGGCTTGTTGGTTCTGGATAGAGAGGGCTTGGGCACTGCTGGGGGTTATTGCGTGCATAGGGTGGTGCATGCTTGACAGGGTCGTGGACGGTGGTCTTGGACTGCTCAGACTGCCTCATCAGTCCGGCAGGACCATGTACCTGGCCTGACAAGTACAAGGAACGTTTGCCAAACTGGGCGAATGATATTTTGTGTATAGATAATGTAGACCCGCGTCGAGTCAAAAGCACCGCAGCTCCTGAATCGTCCATCGCAACGATAAAGAAAGTACTTGAACATAGCATCCCGTAATACCACAAGTCCGCGGAGTGACCGACACGAACACACTTGACATCTAGTGCGCCGCCATCACAGCTCTATCCTTCATGCAGCCAGTCGGTAGCAGCGTCAAGTCGCAATCAGCAGAGACACCACCAGTCAGAGTGTGAAGTCATGAGGGGAGGTAGGTTGTCTGTCGTCGGGCAAGTGACCCGGGCATGACACACACCTTGCGCGGGAAATAATGAGAAGAGTGAGGACCTTGATGGTTAAGCTAGTGCGGAGAACCTTGATGGCCAAGCTCTCGGGCCAATCAGAGCGGGCATATTCTGGTGCAAAAAATCTGAATGGCGACGGACGGTGGGGCGGGCGCGGCGGAGCTAGCGCCTGGGAGCAGGGATGGAGCCAGTTTCGAAGCTGACGCTCCTACCACGGGTGCTGCATAGCTGCTGCTGGGACTCGTGGGGATTTGAACCGTGTTGTCCAGTTTTTGAGGGGGCCGACGAGGAAGTTTAGGGATGCGCTGATGAGAAGAGAGTTTATCTTATTGTTCTTTTATTCCCCCTGTTTTCCTACTGAATGTGGTGATAGGGCCGGGGACGTAATTTAGAGCATCAGTAAGAAAAATAAACAATGCCCTGCTGTTTTCGGGCATGCGCTGCAGGGAGTGGTGTCTCGACCAGTGTCTTGGTCCTGTTCCATGCGTTCGCGCTGCGCTGCGCTTCGCTTCTCTGCTGATAAGGGAAGCGCGCCTGTGAGGTAACGACCCAGCTGCTAAAGTGGGACCTTCCAACGTCGGGCCATCAAGGTCCTCACTTTTGTGTACGATTTTGCGCGCATGGCAGCAGCCACCTGCGCCGCTGCCGTCTACCATGGAGCTCAACTCCCTGCACCCTTTCCTCTCTCTCTGCCCTTTTTTTCCCGACCACGAGCGACGACATCCCAACCATCGAAACTCTATCTTGAGACGATTCTTTATTCTTGAGCATTTCAGGAAACATCTCCAAACTGTAAAAAAGCAACTTCGGCTCGTCCTTCCCCCAAGACGGCTCCAGTTGTCTGCATCGTCTTTACCTTGTCCACTTTACCCGGGACACACAGAAACGCCTCGGCTGCGTGCACCTTGACGTCGTCTGCGTCTCGTCCGTCTCGCGCGTCCCCCTCCGACAAGAGAACCACAAGAAATAAACCGGACAAGACGACGAAATAAGATCCTGCTCCTGTCCTCCTGCAGGGTGCCGGGTTTCCCGACCTTTTGTGGTTCTCCCGTTCCCTCGTCGAGTCCATTGCCGTTAGCGGGGGGGTGTGTCCGTCCTCTTATGTCCATCTAAACCGACGAACCCCCGCGACCGACGACCATCCGGGTTCTCGACATCTCTTCCCACCACCGGCGCCGCACCACCCACCCTCCTGTCTGTCGCCCACCCCGCCCAGGAAAACCTCGAACTCGCCTTCTTCAACCTTTTCGAGGACGACCCCCTGCTCAAGGCGCATTTTATATACTGCCCAGGTCCGCCTCAGAGCCTCATCTTCTCTTTACCAAGACGCCAAGCTGCAAGCCAAGACAGGCGAGGATCCATTACCACACGATCTTCATCGTCCCTTGCCGCTTCTCACCCCCGCCAACCAGCTCCCCGACAAGCTCAGCATTCTGTGTCAACACAAAGCCAGACGCACCCTGCCGGCACTTGACCCATTCCCCCGGGAACGTACAGTTCGAATCTTCCGTCATCCAGGACGACGTCGTGGTGCAGCCAAGGCTTGAACGCGTGTAACCTTTAAGCCGCCATCGCCCTTGAGTTTCTACCTTTTCAGAGAAGACGCTTGTCTCCCTTGCTGTTTCACAGCATTCACCTCCAACAACAACAACCAACATGAACCCTCTTCAGATTTCTGCGGCGAGGCTTCTCGCTGCCCGCCAGGACGCTGGCTCCGATGCCACCGATGCTACCACGAATGCCTGCGGCGCCGCCGCCGTCGACGTGAGCAACATGCCTCTGCGCATCGCCTCCATCTTCATTATCCTCGTCGCCTCGCTTCTCGGCGGTTTCCTGCCCATCTTCCTTGCCAGGACTACCAGGATGCACGTCCCCAAGATGACCTTCTTCATCTTCAAGTATGTCGGTACGGGTGTCATCATCGCCACTGCCTGGATGCACCTGCTCGCCCCCGGTGTCGAGGCTCTTCACAACGAGTGCTTGGCTCCCAGGCTCGGAGACTACGACTGGGCCTTTGCCATTGGCCTGATGACCGTCATGGTCATGTTCCTCATTGAGATGGTTGCCTCCAACATGACCAGCGGCAGCGCCTTCTCCCACAGCCACGACCACGAGATGAACGGCACTGGTGCTGTCGCTGTCAAGTCCAAGGACCAGGCCACCGACGGCAGCGCCAGTGAGGTTTGCCCCCACGACAACGGCGACGCTGAGAGAGGCAACGGCTTCGTCGACCCCAGAAAGGTGCCCGGACTTCCGGACGACGTCAGCTACCCTCCCGGCGGACGCGACCACCTCGGCCACGCCCGCGACCACGTCGAGGGAGACAGCCACTCCGGTCTCACAGGTCAGCTCACGGCCATCTTCATCCTCGAGTTCGGTGTTGTGTTCCACTCCATTTTCATCGGTCTCGTCCTCGCCACCAGCGATGAGCTCGTCGTCCTCCTCATCGTCTTGACCTTCCACCAGTTTTTCGAGGGTCTCGGTCTCGGCTCCCGTCTTGCTGTCGCCCAGTGGCCCTCGCATGGAAAGTGGTGGCCGCACATCCTCGCCTGTCTGTACGGACTCTCGACCCCCGTTGCCATCGCCGTCGGTCTTGCCGCCAGGCCCAGCAGCGCCGAGACGCAGACTCTCGTCAACGGCATCTTCGACTCTATCAGCGCCGGAATTCTCATGTACACGGGTCTCGTCGAGCTGCTGGCGCACGAGTTCATGTTCAACCCCCAGATGCGCAACTCTCCGTTGAAGATCCAGCTCTTTGCTTTCGGCTGCGTTGCCCTCGGCGCCTGCGTGATGGCCGTCCTGGCCAACTGGGCTTAGGAGCACAACTGGTTGCGGAAGCCGTTGCACTGAACTGAACTGAACTAGACGTTGAAAATGGATAGATATGGGACATGGGATATGTATGGGATTGGGATTGAGAATGATACCTGGGTCTTGTGAGCCTGCTCTGCTGTATGGTTTGAGGGATTCCCGTCGTAGGCATTTTGGATTTTTTGCATGGGCAGGAGTTCTGCATCCTGCCTTCAGGGCACGTAATAATGATTATTGATTCGAGAATTGATGCATCCGTTCAAATACTGTGACTGGTGATGCGATGCTGAGCTTTGAATGAGAAGTGGCATTGAAGTAACCCATCAAGGTCTCAACTATGCAACAGTAACCTGTAACAATGACGGCGTTAGTGAGAAGGCTCTTAGCATCAATTTCGAGTCACTGGTCTCGACGACATGAATCTTCAATCTCTCACGCCGGCCCCGAAGCTGCAGAACCTACCCCACCTCGAAGCCGCATCCAATTGCAGTTAGCGCCATGCTATCTTACCTAATCCACTTCCCATTCGCCGAACAAATTCTTTCCACGTGATACCCTGCACGGACCACAAGGGCTTTCCAACCCTGCCCCCGCGAATCGCAATTTTCCAAACCACCAACTTTTTTTCCGTGATCGCGAACCGCAGCTTGTTGATCCGACCGACTTCATCGCCCAATTTTTTTTCCAAACGCCCAGCGCCGTACCAGTCCCTCCCCCTCCCAACCCAACCCAATCAATACCGCAAAAATGGCCGGTGGTGTCTCTGTCCGCGATGTCGATGTAGGTTCCAACCGCTACCCTTGAAGAAAAGCCCGATTTCCGAATCTCGAAAAAATATCAACCGTTGTTCCGTCCTTCCGACCGAGATGTGTGTGTTTCGATGACGCCGCGCACGACTGCCACTGCCGCATCTGAAAAGACGGCCGACTACGACGGGCTCCCGACCTGATCCTCTCGCCATGCCTCCTTCGGGGTGTCGCGGAGACGCTGACCACGATGGTGGGCATGTTTGATGTAGCGATGGTTGGGTGGAAGACCTGGTCGTTCGAAGGGGCAGTCTGCGCGGCGAGGAACGTTCACATCACGGGAACGAAGGGGGAAGACGGCCAACTACAACACATGAGAGGAACAATGGAGCAGGCGTGAGGGAGTCGAAAGACTTCTGATGACGGAATCATTGCTAATTGGTCCTTTTTTCTCCCGCGACAGGCGCAAAAGTTCATCAACGCCTACGCTGCGTTCCTGAAGCGTCAGGGCAAGCTGCCCATTCCCGGTATGTTCCTTTCCCCCCTTCCCCTCCGTCTCATCCACGCATGGGACAAGGAAGTACGACAGCTGGCTAACCACACACGTCTTGCCAGGTTGGGTCGACATCGTCAAGACCGGTCCCGCCAAGGAGCTCCCTCCCCAGGACATTGACTGGTTCTACGTGCGCGCCGCCTCCGTCGCCCGCCACATCTACCTCCGCAAGACCGTCGGTGTCGGCCGCCTCCGCAAGGTCCACGGCTCCGCCAAGAACCGCGGTGTCCGCCCCAGCCACCACGTCGACGCCTCCGGCTCCGTCGACCGCAAGATCTGCCAGGCCCTCGAGAAGATTGGCGTCCTTGAGCAGGACGAGGAGAAGGGTGGCCGCCGCATCACCCAGTCCGGCCAGCGTGACTTGGACCGTACGTCTTGTCCCCTCCCTCTCTTGACTCAAAAGCATCCCGGCCTTGTTTATACTGACTTGCTTCACCAGGTATCGCCCAGACCACCGCCGAGGCTGAGGAGGACGAGGAGGATGACGAGTAGATTATTCCTCTAGACGAAGTACTGTCGCAATAAAAAATCAAGGGCAAGGGCTTTTCTGGGCTTTCACGGACAATCAAAAATGGGCATTTCACTGGGGGTTTTAGGCGTCTGAAAATGGATGTTTTCACGATTGAGAAGAGAGTAATGACTTTATTCTGCTTGGTTGGAAAATGCCTTTCCTTCCGGATATCCCAAATTCAAGTCCCCCCCCGCTCGGTTGCCTTTCCATCCTGCATGTCTTGTTGTCTTCACGGTGTGTTGGTGTTCTTGTCGTGTGGTGTTTCGTGCGAATGATACATCACTGGGCTTATCGCTCCTGTTCCTGCTGGCCTTTCGGTTGCGTACTGTCGGCGAGTGAGGGCGTGCTGTCACCAGTGTCTGCCGCTGGCTGATTGCCGTCGTTGTAATTCACGTCCAGTTCTGTCAAGTCCGGAGGGCCCTCCATCGTGCCAAGTTCGAGGCGCTTGCCGTGGTCCGTTCTGTTATATGTAGTTCCAGCTTCGTCGACTCGGACTCATCACCAGCGCTTGCGAGCTGCCCAAACTCATACAATTCAATCCCCATCGCGCCTTCCCGATTCATCCTTGCCCCGAGTCGCCATAGTTGAAGCCGCCTTAGACGCCTGGAAACCGTCTCCTTCAACCCCACCAAGACATCGCGAGACCAGTTGCTCTCGACCGAACGCTCTCACTCACCATCTCTTCGTCTGCATCATTAACTCGTGGAACTTTCTGTCTGAGGCACCTTCCTGTTCGAACTGGTCCTTTCTGCGATACCAAAGTCCTGATCTCTCGGCGACAGCACCTTGGCCACGAACCTCTTCTCCCTCGCACTCTCCTCTCAACTCAGTCAACCTTCCACCAGAGAGCAACGCATCACGCCAGCCTGCTGAAGCCTGACGGTCGCCCTCTCGCCTCTCTCTCATTCTTCGCTTCCTTCTCCTCCATCCTCTCACGTCGCGATTTCCTAGTTGAGTTGTGGGTTTCCTCCTTTCTCGGCGACAGCACCTCGTCTTCGACGTTGACCTCTTCACCTACCCACATTCTCTTCTCAACCAACTATCTCCAACGCAACTCGAGGCTAGTCTACATCTGACAGACGCAGGCGCTCTCTTCTTCCTGGGACTTTCTCCTGTTCTCCCTGCGCCGCGACTTCCTCATTGGGTTGGGCCACTACTGCGATCTGGACGTCTACTTTCTCGGCGACAACTCCACGACCTCAACGTCTCTCTATTCTTTTCGTTCTCACCCTTCGCCACACAACAGTTCACCACCTTGCCCGAGGAAAATCAAGTTCCTGTTCCCTGTCGTCATTTTCTATCCTTCCTGCATTCCCAAGTTTGAAGTCCTCACCACCTTCCGCTACTCTCCCTCTTTCGTCCAGGCTATCCTGCCATCCGCGCTCCTTCCGTCATTGAGATCGTCGATATCTTCTGGTTCTTCTCGCGCCGGCGGCTCTTTTCTTTGTTCACAACGTACCGCTCCAAACCACCAACTTACCGACTCAACTCGTCTCCGCAAATCACAACCACTCAGCCAGTCCCCATCATTCAAATTATTAATTCAATCCGACAAGATGGACGAGCAGCCCGAGTCTCGGCAGGTCGACCCAATGGAGCTTGATACTCCCGACCGCATCATCAAGACCGAGGAAGTCGACGAGCCCGTTATTTTTGACAACCTCCCCATCATTCCTATCGACAAACCACAAGAGAAGGTTTTCTTCTTCAAGAGGATGGAAGGAAGCAACGCCAGATTCGACGCGATGATACAAGTAGGCGATGGGGAATTGCGCCCAGATGCGATGGAAGCCGGCATCGAAAACGCAGTTTGGGAAGTCACCGACGGTCTTTACATGTACCGTCAAGCGGGACTATCCTTCAAGGTCCTGCAGTCCGTGGGAGTCGCGGAGTACACATCCCCAGAGCGGTCTTTTCATCGAGTCAAGCACCTGTTCAGTCTCAAGACTTGTGCCTTCCTGGCCAATCGCGACATACATGGGGACCTTCAGGTGTTGAAGCTGGCGCTATCCGGGAACATGTTCGACCTAGCCCGGCCCGAGGATGAAAACTTTGTTCTTCATCACCCGAGGTGGACTAAGCGTGTTAAACAAATTGCGGAGCTTCTGGGCCTCAAGATGGGCTCCCCATACGACGGCGCCAGCAAGAGGCCTACCGAGGACGATGTCGGCAATTGGGCTGCGGGTCATACTGAGAAGAAGCTCTCGGCATATGCAATTCACGCGATGCTCCAGCTCTATGTCTTCGGCGATCGCAAAATTAAGCGCATCACCATGACAGACCTCAAGAACCTCAAAACCTGTCTTCGCACGAACGGTTTGGCACCTCGCTTCGAGATTCACCTTACCCGTGAACCGTGTGGAGTGCCTCATAAGCCCGGAAAATGCGTCCCGTTCGTCCAGCGACTAGCATATCTCACAGGTATCGATTTCACGATCCATCACTGGGAAGACAACGTCATCCTAGATGGGACGGTACCTGCACGACAAAAGAAGAAGGAGATGTTCAAGAAGAGTCGTGCAGACGGCGGAGGCGAAGACACAGACGCAGAGGACTACGATTCCGAAGGTGAAGATCTGGACCTGACGCTCGCCGAACAGTACCCAGACGACTGGGAAGCTATTGTCCGGAACGGTTTCGAGGAAGTGGATCCTGACGAGCACATCTTCCCGGCGCGTGAGGTGGCTGACACTCTCCCCGACGAGGCCAACTCCAACCCCCTCCCTCCTCTGCGCATCTCCGATGAGACCATCCGCAAGTTTGGAGATCGCGTTCTCCAGTTCAAACGCCCCCGCGAAGAAGTTTTGAAGCCTTTGCCGGCTACGCCCGTTACGGAGGAAGAGATGCTCCTTATGAGAGACCCGTACGCGGCCTCAACTCAGGACTCGACAAGCTATTTCTTCGAGGGCACGGGCCCCGCCTCTGAGCCCGAAGAACATGAGCAACGCCGCTCCAAGAAGAGTCGTCAGAGGAAGGAGAAGCGTAGGCAAAAAAAGCGCGCGAAGAGTGCTGCTGCCGCAGCTTCCAGACCAAACGGCATGTCCACACAAGGTACTTCATCGAACCAAGATTCGGACAGTGATGATTACTAATGAGCTATTGGAGTAGGAGGATCTGTTTTTGCAGGTCGTCTCGGGGCTTTGGCTCACTCGAGTCAACAGATTGCTTTCTGAACCTCGCATCAGAGGTTACAAATCTGCGATGGATTGGTACACCAGCGGACTCTGATGGAGATGAGGATGTGTTTGATTACTTTCTTTACTTTGGGACTGCGAGTTCGTTTGGAGTCACGGAACTGGGATATGGTAGGGCTCGTGTCTCGCAGGATGCCTAGACACGCGGGCCAGGAAAAATATCGCAGAAGAGGCTCATAGAATTGCATTAACTAGAAGAAAGAAGAGAGATCGAACATCATAGCCATATCATGCTGTTACTTCCCTGTGATAGTGTCCTGTTCGTTCATGATAGTCAAGACTTCCGATATGTCTTGCTATTAATCGGTTGAAATTACGTCCCACAGACACTCTTGTGTCTACTCAACACTCAGCTCAAACGTAAAGTCGAAAGCCTCCGAGTAGCACTTATACTCCTCAAACGGCCTCGGCCCAACTGTCGCCGACCCAATCCCATGATTATCATAATCCAGATTCAAAATCGTCATATCCAACGCCTCCAAATCGTGCGGGTGCTTCGCATCGTCCAGGTCGAACGGCATATACCGCCTCGCCGTAAAACTGAACACATCCTCCCCTTCCGCCCGCCGCGCGTCGAGCGTCACATCCCCGTTGCCGAGCCTCACCCACCGCAAATCCTCCCGGTTGCCGTTCTCCTGCGGGTAATCATAGTACGTAAACAGCTCGTCCACGTTCGCCTCATACCGGCCCACGCGACAGCCCTCCTTCGTGTCCTTGTAATTCTCGCCCGGCCCGCGACCGAACCACGACACCGCGTCGAAGTCGGCGGGGAGCACCGCCATGAGCCCGATGCGCGGGACGACCTCGGGCGTGTTGTTGCCGACGAAGTCGCCGCGCGCGTGCACGCTGAGGCTGCCGGCGGGGGAGACGGTGTAGGTCAGGGATGCCTCGACGCCCCATTCGAGCGCTTTGGGGGCGACGCGGACGCGGTAGTGGACGACTAACCCGGCGGAGGTGTCTTGCCAGGAGACGTCGCGGACTTGGGTGTGCATGCTGCCGAGGCGCGCGTCGTCCCAGACTAAAGGCCCGTCGCCCCATTGCGAGGCGTCGTTTTGGGTCTGGGCGCGGTAGAAGTAGAGCTCCGGGCCGCGGGTGAAGATGGGGGTGTCGTTGACGGTCCAGGATACGTTGCCCTGGAGGAGGTCGAAGTCGAAGGCGGAGGAGGACGTTGAGGCTTTGAGATGGGTTCTGTCCTGGGTGAAGTTGAGCGCGGAGGAGGATTGACGGGTGGTAAGGGCCGCGCGCGCGGTGAGGTTTGCGGCTGGGGCTGGGGCGTTGACGTGGAGTTGGTCCCAAGCGATGATGTGCCCTTGTTCAGCCCAGATTGTGTCGTTCTTGAGCGCGAACTCGACTGTGATCCAGGCTTCGCCTGAGAGCGTCGCGTTGCCGCTTGGGAGGGCGAGGACGTGTTGTTCGCCAGCAGGGATGCTTCCCAGGTCGAGGGGACGCGAGGATGTCGGGTCCTGGCCGTCTTGGATGATGTGCCAGGAGGCGTCGAGCCAGTCCACATCAAGGAAGTCATAGTGATTTGTGACAACCATTTGGTGACCGTCTTCTGACAGAACCACGGTAATGGGCTGGATGGCCTTGGCGTACTCGATCAAGGAGGGCATGGGAGTGTGGTCGGAGAGAGTGAGGCCGTCCATGATGAAGTCGGCGTCGTTGGGTTCGTCGCCAAAGTCTCCGCCGTAGGCGTAGTACTCAATGTCTCCTTCCTTCTTAAGAAGACCATGGTTGCTCCATTCCCAGACAAGACCGCCCTGGACGAGGGGCTCTGAGCGGAAGAGCTCGATGTATTCCTTCAGGCCGCCGGGACCGTTGCCCATTGCACTGGGATGCTATTAGCAAAGTCCAAGAGACATGAAGAAGCAACTTACTGTGCGAATTCACAAAGAATGAAGGGCTTGTCCGTGTGGTTACCAACCCACTCACGAACACTCGTCGGAGACTTGTACATCTGGCTGTACATATCTACCGACGTGGCATTGCGGTCCTGCTCGTAGTGGATGATCCTGCTGGGATCGCGCTGCCTGATCCACGTCGTCATGGCGTCCAAGTTCCTCCCATAGAAGCACTCATTTCCCAGCGACCAGATAATGACGGACGCGTGGTTCTTGAACCGCTCGACGAGTGCGTGAGCCCTGTCGATGTACGCGGCCTCCCACTCGGGGTTGTCCGACGTCCACTCGGCCGCCTTCTCGTCCGTCTCCTCGACCTTGCCGAAGCCATGACACTCGAGGTCCGCCTCGGAGATGAGGTAGAAGCCGAGCTCGTCGGCGACGTCGAAGAAGTCCGGGTGCGGCGGCTGGTGAGAGGTGCGGATGGTGTTGATGTTGGAGCGCTTCATGCGGATGAGGTCGGCGCGCATGTTAGCGTACGGCACGGTGCGGCCCGAGAGAGCGTTGTGCTCGTGGCGGTTGACGCCGTAGATGGTGATGGGCTTGCCGTTGACGTGGAAGTTGGAGCCGACGATCTCGACGCGGCGGAGACCGACGCGCTGGCTGATGGTGCGACCGTTGAAGGTGACCAGGAGGGTGTAGAGGGCGGGCGTCTCGGCGGACCAGAGGTGAAAGTCGTCGCCTGCGAGAGTGTGCTCGTAGATGGAAGACGATGCGCCGGTCCAGTCGTCGAGGGTGTCGCCGGCTGGGGAGAGAAGTTTGACGGTCAGATTGCCTTGGTCTCCCTGGATTGTCGTGTTGAGCCTGATGGTGCCGCTTGAGAAGGTGTCATCGATGTAGGTGTTGACTTGGTAATCCACAATAGAGGAGCGAGGGAACGGGATGAGATAGACATCTCTGAAGATACCGGACAGCCACCATTGGTCTTGATCTTCGATGTAGGATCCATCGGACCATTGGTACACGCGTGCAGCCAGGGTGTTGGCCTCGCCTGGGGTGAGGTAGTCCGTGATGTCGAATTCGTGGGAGTTGCGGCTTCCTTGGCTGTAGCCGACCTCTTCGCCGTTGACCCAGACATGGAACGCGCTGTCGACGCCCTCAAAGCGGAGGCGGATCTGCTGGTCTTCGTCCCAATCCTCGGGAATCTCAAACTCTCTCCAGTACGATCCAGTGGGGTTCACGTAAGAGACATTAGGAGGAGTGACCGGGAAGGGGTAGTCGATGTTGGTGTAGTGAGGGTAACCGTAGCCCTGGCGCTGCCACATGCCCGGGACCTCGATGTCGTCCCATGAAGTCGTGTTCGCGGTTTCCCAGATGGGAGCCTCGAAGGGGCTCTGATCGTAGTGGAACTTCCAGGTGCCATTGAGACTGAGGTACTCGCTCTGGTAGCGGTCAAAGGAGAGGGCGGCGTCCTCGCTGGCGTAGGAGTAGAAGTGTGCACGCGGAGCAAGAGTGTTGCGGTGCAAGACGTTCAGATTCGTCCAGTCCGGCAAAGCACCCGGGAAGCCTAGGCCTGAGATGAGGTCCATGACAATCAAGAACGAGCTCTGGCGAGCAAATTGGAAGACCTATTGGTGCCGTGGCTCTCCTAGGACCTTGCTACCGCCAACAGCCGCCGCGCGACCTTTATAACGCGCCCCATGACCTCTCTGGTTTTCATTGCCCAGTTCCTACACCTCGGCAGAGAATCTTGAGGTAAAGGATCAGCATTCCCGGGCACTCTCACGACTCCGGCTGGGCGCATGTCACGATCATGTAGCTGCGCCAAGAATTAAAAGAATCCCAATGCCCCTCAATTGCGCACCCGTCGTCCAACCCTTCTGCGGAGTGTCCCTCGATCGCGGGGTTCACGTGGGCGGATATGACGACTCTGAGTAGCATCGGCGGTGCAAAAGTCCTCGTTTATGCGGTGATGCTTGAAATCGAAAAGCTGGGCAGCGGGGGAGAAGAAGCAAAATCTGGGTCAAAATATGCATATTTCCGTTGGTTCCCCGCAATCGGTGGACCGTCGTTGTGTGTGTCCGGTCCCGGTACCCCCGCGATCGACACGAGAGCGGGGAATAAGGCGACGGGGGCTGTGGTGTGACCTTTCATCGGGCCATTAAGACTCCGATGCACTGCTGCAGTATGAGTTCAAGGCCATCGGTGATCGGGAGTGGCCCGACTTGCTTCAGTCGGTTCATCTATTTGCGAGCATGTGGAGTTCATCGGATGTCTGGTTGAATTGCTGATGTGTTGGTTCCGCGTTGCGTCGCCAAGAAACCTCCAGTGCTTGAGTTCATCCGACGGAAAAAGCATGCCAAGACCACGGCGGGTCCCGAGGAATATGAGATCATTGATTGGAGCAGTTCGTCGCAGAGAGAACAGACATTGCAACTGATCCTCTCAAGAACCCAAGTGTACGATACAGTAAGTCGTACACAAAGATCTTCATGTAAAATCTCAATTCGGATACTCAAGACTGCGATCGTGAGGGTAAGGCAACATTGCAATCGCAGTTCAAAACGCGGCATTACGAAAAGCGAATATGAGCAGGCACAAACATGAAGTGCTCCGAGGAAAAGTCGTTCTTCATTTTGTGCCTTCGAAATCGGAGTTTGTGTCCGAGTTTCAGAGTCCGAATCAGGTGTGTCGTTTCAGTCTCATGGTGTCGGCGCCATCATACACACCGTGCGGTGCTTCCGAGAACCTTCTTCTGGAAGCCATGATGATCCGCAACCTTGTTCCAAACCTTAAAGGTCAAGTAGGGCTCTTCACTTACTGCACAGGAATCTAACAGGCAACTGCTGGTTGTTGTATCACCTGAAAGTCTGAGTAAATTAAAAGCTTTCGCCTGGCGAGCGTTAACACTCATATTGAGTTTGCGACCCGGGGAAATATTCGTGATTATAAAATTAGAACTGTTACTTTCCGCATTACTAGCGGGACTAGGCCCATAAGGCTAGAAACAGTAGGCACGACAGGAACCACAGAAGATGTGCCGAGTCCCGATTGCTTAATGCGTTTAAAGTGCGCCGCAAGATCCGATACTCAGCCTCAAAGCCATCGGTCCCCGCACAAGACTTGCAGCTAGAGTGCGGGCATCAGCCTTGTTCAAAATGTGAAGTCTTCGAAGAAGGTGGGGTCACGTCAGTCGAAATCCGGCTCGGATGGCAGTAAGATTATGAGCAAACTCTGGATCGGACTCCAATAAGAGGCCGTCAAACTAAGGAGCCATCCGCGAAGACAAAAGGAAAATTTGCCTCATGAGATTGTCAAGTTAGTGGAAGAACATTCGCGGAGAAACGCGCCTGTAGTTCGATTTAACATGTTGCGATTGTTAGAAAGTAGCCTAGTGTTTCTGGTTCGTTTGGAGCCAACCCAATCAAGTCCGTCGCTCCACCTCGGAGAAAATGGGCTGAACCGAAACCGAGATAGATTGAAATGACTCAAGGTATCTAACTCCGAGTCTAGAATCGAACGAGATGCGACATAGAGACAGCATCTCATTTACTTCAACGGCCATGGCCTTGCATTCATGCAGATGCTATTAACCCAACTCCAGCCATCCAATTTGTCGATCACTGAAAAGTTCTTATAGAACATCGCTGCGAAATGTTCGCGTCAATACTTTTCGGCGTTGTTTTGCTGATTCTTTCTGCTCGCGGGCAATTTGTTGCCCAGCCAGCAGATCTCAAGACGGTCAAAGGAGCGGCAGGAACCACTGTTCGATTTAAAGAAGTACCCAACGGAATATGCGAGACCGACCCGAATGTCAAATCCTTTGCCGGCTACGTGGATGTCAGTCCAACTCAGCATATTTACTTCTACCTAATTGAAGCGAAGCAAAATGCAGCCTCCACACCTATGACAATCAGACTGGATGGGGGCCCGGGAGCTTCGTCCATGGGCGGACTCTTCCTCGAGCTCGGGCCTTGTACTATTGATGCGAGTGGAAAGGTGGTGAACAATCCAAACTCCTGGTCAGCCATTAGCAACATGCTGTTTATCGACCAACCCGCAACTGTGGGCTTCTCATTCACCAAATTGGTCAACGGCACTATCAACCCCAAGACCGCAGAGATTGTTCCACAGCAGTGCACGTTAGCGGATCCGATGTGTGGCACGTACTCCTCCATGGATCTCTCTCTGACGCCGAACTCAACGGAAGAGGCTGCCAAGGTGTTCTATCAGGTGATGCAAGGAATCATGGGCGCCTTTCCTCAATACACAGCAAACGGTGTGCACATCACAGGTCAATCCTACGGCGGTCATTACGCACCCATCTTTGCTGACCACATAATGCTACAAAACCAGCTCGGCGTACCCGATACCGTCAACGTACCCCTGAAATCGATTTCTATTGAAGATGGGTTCATGGATAGTCGCGTGCAATTTGGGGCATATTTCAACTACTCGGTATCGCCTGGCAACCCGTACGATCTCACGCCGTTCAACGATACTCTCCGTCAAAAACTCTTCACCAACATGTTTGGCGCCGGAGGCTGCCAGGATAAACAGACGGCATGTAACAGCAACCCCACCGATAAGGTATGCGCGGACGCGGACGCCTTTTGTATCAAGAACGTCGAAGAGTTCTGGGACGTCAACACTGGTCGCTTCGAGAACGACATTCGCTTGTTATCGCCGGCCCCCTACCCGGCGCCGAATTTCATCGCATATCTCAACCGAGCCGACGTTCAAGCAGCCATCGGAGCCTCGAACAACTTCACCGTGGCCTCAGTACAGACCAGTATCAGATCCAGCTCGACGGGCGATGACAGCCGCACAGGTGCGCTTGTCGTCCAGTCCATGAAGAATCTGCTCCAGCAAGGCGTCACCGTCGCGCTCTTCACCGGCGATGCCGACTACGATAGCAACATGATCGGCGCTCAAATGGTGGCGGCTGAAGTCGGGGCCGCGAACTGGGCTTCTGCGGGGTTTGTGGATCTGTCAGCGAACAGTGACGGGCAGGTTCCTGGCCAGGTGAAGCAAGCTGATGGATTCTCGTTCACGCGACTTCACTTTGCGGGACACGACTCTGCGTTCAGCCAGCCTGAAGCTGCGCGCCGAATACAAGAACGCGTAATCAAAGGGGTGGATATCGCAACTGGAACAACTCCGATGGTGTTTGGGAAGAATTTGATCACAAAGGGACCACCGGAAAGTGTGTTCACAGAGGGAATGGCAACGGTTCAGACAAAGCCTCTGCCTAAGGGTACAATATACGATCCGCACACCCATCTGCCTGTACTCCCGGTACGATCAGCCGTAGTAGACACCAGTGTTGCCGCCCAGGTTGATGGGGATCAAGATACGACGGATCACCCGCTAACATTTATGACGGCGAAGAACATTAGGAAGCTGGTCAGAGAGAATGCAGTGCTCATGAGAGGCTGATGAAATAAATGTAATCTTGATTGACGTGTTTGAAAGTCCACCTCCGAGGTCTACTGATGGTTTCAGTGCTTCATACATTGAGCGAGCGTACCAGATGGAGATCCACCTGCACTTCAGCGCCTGCTGCATTCCAACACATGCGGTATAAGGTACAGAAACTCAGACGCAACAATGGCTACACACGATCATACCGCAAGCATTGAAATAAGTGCGAAGAAGAGCAGTCTCAAAGACCATCTTGCGGATGAAATTATTCAGAGACAAGATTGGAAAGCCCAGTTGCTAACTTGAATAGCATAAAGCAGAAAAAACACTGATATAATCAACCCACAAGCAGTTGAAATGATAAGTAAGTTGATTGAACGAGACTTTGGAAGGATGCATAACAAACCGGTTTGGTTAGTCTTAGGTAACAAGACCATTGCACAAAACCACACCTTTCTTCGTTGATATTCATGTTTTGTTTCCTTTGGTATTTGGTGTCGGTGTCGTTGGTCTTTCATTGGCATCATGCACTTCCTTTTCATCTGCCGAGCTCTCTGCAGGCGTGTATATGGCTTTTGATTGGCACGTCAGCTGGAGGGCAGTAACATTTTACCTGGAATCAGGCTGGAGAGGAATTTCCCAGGTCAGGTAGCGACTAACTTACGCTCAATTGTAGAAGAAGCAGGACTCAGAGGTTGAGAGATGTCCTCTTGATTAATACTCCTCAGAATTTGGAGAGCTGTTTCAAGAGAGCTGATCTCCCTCTCGGAGAGAACCCCTTCGGGATGAAACCCCGCATATAAGAGATCTTGATTCGACATCTGCGGGAATTTCTGACTCGGTAACCGCACAACTTTCCTTTTTGTATCTTCACTGATGAGTAATTTCTTTTGGATCTCTCCGAGAATCCGCGGCAACTCAAGAAGTTCGTCCTGTTCTAATTTCGACTTGACGTGGTTGAAGAATTTGGGACTCTGCAATGACAAGCGTACACTATCTACTATTGAAGTTGTAGAGTAGAAGGTGACACCGTGAATATTGTAGCGTGTATCGTCGTAGATCGACTCTTGTTGCCTGTCTTCCAAGACAAACCAACCTAGACCGAAATGATAGCCACGACAGCGTTTCTGGATAATAGCCCTGACTTGAAGGGCGTCTTGTGATGTCAAGCATGACTTGCGCGCCACAAAAACTGCCATCACTCGATCCCTGCCGATATGAAAATGACATTGAGTCTGAAGTTCAGCGTCCAAGTTTGGTAGCTTGAGAGAAGGAAGATCGTCGTGTGCGATAATAATTGTGTTTCGGGATTTCTTGAACTGATCATAAAACCAGGGATACATGAGGCATGGGTCATTCCGGCAGTAGGGATGTTGAGGAGGGTCCAGAATGACCATTGGTCCGGGAGAAGGCCGACGAATCTCCAGTCTAAGGATGTCTGCTATCAAGTGGCTGCCTTTTATCCTCGTACTGAGTTCTTTGATGATCCGGCCGAAGAGAAACTCGAATAGGCTATGCCAGTCTGGGTCTTCCGAGCTGACCTCGTCATTAAGAGAAAGGATCCGCTCAGAGTCCGATTGACTCCGACAGTAATCGAGATACCTAACGGATGCTGGAACCACTAACATCTTGATCGATGTTGTCTCTGACGGGATAACAATGAATTCCTTGGTGATTTCGTTGCCCAAGTACTCTTTCGGAAAATGAAGTCCCGTCAACGCCGTGAGTACAGTCTGTTTCGCTGACTCACTGCTTCCCAAAAGGACCACCCTCGGGAGATCAATATTTTGATCTAATCCTTGCAGGTGCAATTCCAGCAGCTTATCGATCAGCCGGTTCTTTTTATTCAATGGAGAGGCCATTGTTATGTGGCTGAGGCTTTTGGCGGAAGGTGTTATCCCAATACCAAATGAGTTCGTGTTGTAGGTAAATCGTATACAAGCGCAGCAGCGGAGAGACACGATCGGGAAACAAACATTCTCTATGGATGGGGAATAAGGCTCATTGAGACCGTAAACAAATTCTCGCATGAAAATATGGGTGACGTCATAGATCGACTCTAGATTCACGACCAGTTGAAGCTGAAGATCGTGGCCTGAAACCTTAATCAGCTGATAGACTCAATCCAGGGAAAGGAAGGTTTGGGTCACCCTTGAACCTTTGGGGAACGACGAGAAATGTATGGTTGGGGACGATGAAAGGGTTAAGATGTGAAATTGCACAGAAACTTTGTCTTGACAGTGCCTTGCAAGCAAGCCAAGATCATTCGTCCCCTTCCAATTTGCAACAGATGGACAAGAGTGAGCTGAGCTTCACAAGTTTGGCAGGGAGACTTACCCGGCAACAGGTTTGCCGAAATTGTCAGCGAGAGAGAACTTGGAAGGATTAAGTACACAAAGCAAGATAACGCAAAGATAATGGTAGTGATTTTGACTCCTTAGGTCAAGGTTTGGGATAGTGTTTGCAAGTGGAGTCAGAGGCTAGTTCCCAGCGGGAGGCCTTCCAGACAGAAAAGCCTAACCATAAACATGCCCAACGACTTTAGTTTCGGTTCAAAGCGGGAGGCCCACCATCTCCGATCTGGAGCATATGTCTGCTGCCGCAAATTCCATTTTATGGGCTGGACGAACGTAGAGTCAACACATGGTCAGTAGCACTCAATTTACCCCCGTTTCTTGGATAACCAGCAGTCCACTGCTGGCGAAGACATTTGGTCTGCCACATCGCAAAACATCCTACCTTGGCTAGTTCACTCATTGATTTGAGAGGGCTCAGTTAAGCAATGACTAACCGAAGGCCAGAGTGCCGTAGAACACATGATGTAGATGCCTTTCTTTGATGCCGAAGATCAGCCGTGGAGCAGGGATATTCGCCAGAAGTTCGGATAAACCACGGGTACTATCAGACGGATATCTGACAGCCAAGATTCGCTGTAATAAGACACCTATTCGTCGTTTATTGTTCTATGCGCGTATCTGAATATTTTGAAGAGAATGGATGGCGCCATGGGTGACCTACACGTGTGTTATGAAGCAACCAGCGCGCTCTCGTCATGCGAGGCTCGAAGACCCGGCGTTTCCCCGGTGGTCCGTGCTACCAAGCAATGGTGAACTCGGTTACACAACCTCGGCCGATGTGTCCGTTCTTGTTCTCACTTGACTTAGTATTGAGTCTACTGAAGGCGTTTCTGTGATATCGCCGGAGGCCGTGCGTTTGCTCCCGATTCTACGATGTACAGTGTACAACTTGAGAGCAAGACAGCATGGCATAGCATTCCGCGGCTCGCAAGCACCTGTCCAAGCACCTTGGTGTGTACCCGGCAATTTCTGTGATTGGACTTGTACAGCAGAAACTCATATTCACAGTTTGGAGGGCCTCCCGCTTAACGTGCCGTTATTGGCTTAACGTTAGTCTCAAATTCGAGCAGGACTATTGGTGACCCGCTTACTTGCTTACGCCGCATACTTTGGTATTGCTGGTCCAGATGTATGGTCCTCGTGAGAGCTCTCTCACGCCCGAAGGTTGCCGCTTCAGATGACTTCATCTCATTGCCGGTATGACATCTCTTTATGACGAAACTTCGGCACAAAATCCCTTGAAGTCCAGTCACCCCTCGCAAGTTCTTATCTACAAGCTCCGACATCACATCATTCACACGACTGTGCATGGCGACAGCATCTCCGAGAAGCACAATCAATTTATTTTCAAGCATCGTCCCAAATAATCAACACTTCGCTACCACCAGCGTCCCCAAAATGTCTCTCAGCCAAGAAGATCAACAATTTCTGTCCAAGACCTTGCAAGATCTCTATCTTGAGGGCTTAGGTCAGCACGTCGACCTACCCGTCGTACTTCTCTGTGGCGACAGTGATGCAGCCAAGCATACTGTCATCGAGGCAATGACTGGTATCTACCTACCTCAAGAGTGGTTTAATCAGCACTTTTCAATGGAATTCATCTTCAGCAAGGGGGACCTGTGGACACCAACCCCAATCAAGGTTTCAATTATTCCAGCGCCACACAGGAATGAAGACGAAAAGGCGAAAATGATGGCTATTCTAGAGGATCTGGAGGCCTCTCACAATGAGTGGCGCGGTCTACTGGAATTTCTGATCGGTCAGAGCATCCTTGAACTGGAGGAGTTCCCAGACATCACCATGGACGATGTTATTCGAGTCCAAATCAAACACCGGAACCTACCATCACTCATCCTCTCAGTTCTTCCAGGATGGCCACCTCACATCTACGACTACAAACTCAATAGAGTGCGGCTGGTGAAACGCTTCCAAAGTCCCCGTAGCATCATCCTGGTTGCCCACGACAATTTGCCACTTCTCCGAAAGTCGGAAATCAATCGCTATCTGAATTTGATTCTTGACGGTGGTGGAGATCGGACCCGGGCGATATTCGTCGTTCGTTACAGCATGACGGCCGAAGAGGCGAAGCAACTTAAAGGAGTCACTTTGAATGTTTGTCGAGGGTATACATTTAAGCTTGGGTGGGTGATACTGAAAGAGTACAACAGAAATCCAAACAGCAATGTCCATTCAATCAGCGGGACCAAGCTTAAGGAAATACTTGGAGATATACCAAAAATAGACCCGTGGTCCAGCCCGCTTTTCGACTGCATCCTACCTCAATCCGGACTAGTTGAAATTCTCGACATTACAAGCATCCTAAATGATATCAATTCGGCCTTGCTTCACTGTACATTCGGGGGGCGAGGCGCTCATGGCCGCCCCGCAAGAGATTACGCGGCTCTGGAACAGAAGCGCGCCTTGCTGGAAAAGGCATCGCAGGCTCTGCAGAGATACGACCCATCCTTCTCCAGTGCCGCCTCTTCTACAATTGATCGTGAGTATATACACCTCTCTAACCTCCCCTGTCTTTCTGCGTCTATCAAACTTAAGTGGAAGGCATATTGCTGACCAGTCGCTCTATAGGTATCCACACGCCCACAGAGTCCGAGATGTAAAGCTCAAACGCACTTTGACAGAGCCTTCAGAGTCAACCGCGACATTCGGGTGCAGTTTCGCCGGCGCCATCTTATGCTATTGCTGCGGAGTCTATGAACTCTCCGGCTGGTGTGGCGAAAACGGTTGACATCTTTCTCGACGAAACGTGAGGTTGCGGTGCCATGACAGGATGGAGATACAAAGGGCCAGGATCGACGGCGGGTAGATCCAAATTAAGTGTGGTGTGCATTCAGTCTGCTGCTGTTCTTCGTTAAAGACAAGATTAGGGACGCTGCAGAGATAGAGACAAGAGCCCTAGAACGAATTAATCCCCTTACGTCGATTTGTTCTAGAATATAATCGAGATTTAGAAATTCGTTTACTACCTTATGCTTTGCTTCAATATGAATGGCATAAAAGCTTATCTTTTCAAACTCGTATACTCGATGTACCCGACATGCTCGGAATGCCCGATATACTCGTTATACTCGGTATACCCGGTATACTCGATAAACTTCGTAAGCTCTTCTCTATCTCTTCCTAAGCTCAATTGCCCGTGTTCAACGGGCTACACGGATCAAACTCGTGACTCGAGATGACATCCGGATACACAATCCCAGCTCCGCCTAAAACCTCATCCATCGTCTCCATCACCAACACACTCTCCGCCCACGGCATAATCCCACTCTCCAACCTCCCATCCCGAATGCACCTCGCACTCTCATCCGCCTCCCAAAACGTCCCATTTCCCCATCCCCGCTCCTCATCCTGCGGCTGCGGACACTCAACCACCTCTTCCACACTTTCCCCATCGTTCCTACGCTTGATGATCTTGAACGAGGTCGGTTTATACGCCGGATGCGCCACCTGGATCTCCCCCCGTGAGCCCTGTATCCTCACCGCCGGGTTCCCCGTCTCTCCGGGATCCGTCGCCACGCGCAGCGACGCAGTCGCGACCCCGACTGTCCTGTGGCGCGGAAAGCTGAGCAGCATCGCGACGGACTCGTCAATACCGGTGTGGTACTTCTGCACGGCGGCCTTCACCTCCGGCGCCTCCTTTTTAGCTTCGGGCTGTAGGTGGTAGAGGATCTGGAACACCCATGTGAGGGCGTACACACCCAGCCCAAGTAGCACGCCCCCTGCGAGGTCGGGGTTCACCATGCGATGTCCATCCTCATAATCCAACCTCTTACCCGTCACATCGTCGCCATCGCCATTTGCACGCGAGAGGTCCGCCGACACCCGATAGACTGTCCCAATGTCGCCCCCGCTGACCAACTCACAAATCCGCCTGCTGAGCGGGAAGAACCGCGTCCACACGCCCTCCATGAAGAATAGCTTCCTGTCCTTTGCAGTGCGCACCAAGCAACGCGCCTGCGCGGCCGTGACGCACAGTGCCTTCTCGCAGAGGACGTGTTTTCCAGCGGTGAGGGCGAGCATAGCGTTTTGGAAGTGGTGGCTGTGCGGCGTGGCGATGTAGACGATGTCGACGGCGGGGTCGTCCACCAGGGCTTGGTATGAGCCGTAGGTTTTGACAGTGGACGGGGCAGGGTGGTCGATGCGGGACAGGAAGGCGGCGGCTTTGGATGGTTCGTTGGAAGAGGAGACGGCGGATATGGTGTGGGATACGTCGGTGACGCCGCGGGTTGATGGGTTTGTCAGGAGGTCTTTACAAAAGTCTTGTTGGTGTTAGATTTGTTCATTGAAGGGAAATTGGGGGCTTACATTCGGACATGGCCCCGGTGGCCATGATGCCCCATCTAAGGACGAAGGGTTCTGTCATCTTCCCGGCGGTGGTTTCCGACCTCGGGCGTGGGAAGGTATTGCTCGATTGGAACTGAGAACATAAGTGTAAAAGTCAACTCATCCAATTTCAGCACACACTCGTTCACTCTCCGAGAGACATGACGGAGACGTCGGAGGTCTCGGGCTTAGTCATCGCCGAGATACGGACGCTAGCTGGAAGTTTCCCCGCACATCACGACCCCTCGGCCTATTCACCACCGAAGAAGCTTCGGCTCACTCACACCTGAGCATCATCAGAATTGTGCCAACATTATCTTTTTGGTATTCGTAACTATGACCATCATAAATCATCAAACATGTCCCTCAAGCTCCACCAGCCCCCAAATTACTAATTAAAAGTACAGGCTTCCAGCATTGTTCAAAATCCAGTCGGAGCTGCTCTTCCTGAAATCGTCCTTGAGCGTGCTCGCCGAGTTGGCAAAGAACTGCATCATGTTCTGTCCCTGGCCCCACTGCGCCCACGTCGGGTACGCGCCGTTCAGCCCGACGTTGGGGTCGAGCGCGTACACGAAGTTGGTGTAGTACGTGCGGATGCTGCGCGCCGCGTAGTTGTCCTTGACGCCGTAGAACACCTGCAGCAGGTCCGAGCCGTGGAAGGTGCCGAGGATCGGCGTGCCGTAGTCGTACGACGCGAGGTACGACCACGCGGGGACGCTCGGGTTGACCACCGCGGCCAGCTGCAGGAACACGCGGCGCGTCAGCGTGAAGACGAGGTCGCCGAGGACGGCGGCGCGCAGCTTGAAGCCCGGGAAGATCTCGTTGAGAAGGCCGGTGCGGTGCGGGCTGCCGTTGATGATGGCGTTGATGCCGGTGTCGTAGGTGGCGACGTACGCCTTGATCTGGTCGGTGGTCGCGGTCGCGAAGTAGTAGTCCTTGAGGTACTGCACGAACTTTTCGGTGGTGGTGAGGTTCGCCTGGAAGAGGCCGAAGAGCGTGCCCTCGTCCTCCTGGTCGCCGATGATCATGGGGACCGCGGCGTACCGGCCTTCCTTGGCGAGGACGTCAGGGCTCGCGGGGAGGGCGGTGCCGTCGGGGCGCGGGAGGTACGACAGCGCGAGGGAGTTGTAGGACAGGATGCCCGGGACGGAGGTGGCGGCGTTGAGGAAGGTGGTGTAATCGACCTCGCGCAAGCAGGCGAGGGTGTCTGCCTTGCCGGCGCAGCCGGCGTTCTTGACGACAGTGTCGTAGATGGCCTGGCCCTTGGGGCAGTCGACGGGGTCGGTGGGGGTGATGCTGCCTGAGTTCATGATGGCGCCGCGGAAGAGCGGCTTGCCCTTGTACTTGTTGTCGCCGCCGTAGAGGGCCATCTGGTCGAAGACGGAGATGGCGCCGGCGGACTCGCCCCAGATGGTGACCTTGTCGGGGTCGCCGCCGAAGGCGGCGATGTTGTCGGCAACCCACTCGAGGCCCATGCGCTGGTCGAGGAGGCCGAGGTTTGCGGAGCCGTCGGCGAGAATCTCCTTGCCGGGGAGGAAGCCGAAGCCGGCGACGCGGTAGTTGACGGCGACGAAGACGAAGGGCTTGCTGATGTCGACGCCGTGCTGGACGAGGCCGGTGCCGTCGTACATGGAGGACCATCCGAGCTGTTGGGATGAAGGTTAGCCACATGGGATGAAAGCGCGGGTGTTTAGAAGTGACGACGTACCTCGAATCCACCTCCGAAGATCCAGTAGAGTACGGGCAGCTTCGCATCAGCCGTGGTGCCCTGGGGGCGGGCCACGGTGATCGTGAGGCAGTCCTCGCTCTGCCCGGTGGCCGTCTGGATGAAGGGCAGGTTCGCAATGTCTCCGAGAATGTCGATGAGGGCGTTCGTGCTGGCGGAAGAGGCCACCATCTGGGGACAAGCCCCGGCAGGGCCGGTGGCGTCGAAGGTGCCGATGTTGTCAGTCAGGCGCACGGGGGGCTTCAGGCGCAGCGAGCCGGTGGGCGGCTTCGCGTAGGGGATGCCGCCGAAGGATTCGACATTGTTCATGACGTTTCCAATGACGGTGGCCGTGTCGAGGACGACGGTCGCGGTCGCAGCCCTGTCTTCCAAGGGCTGCGTGTGCTCTGAAACCGCCAAGGCGGCCCCCAGGAGGGAGAAGGACGAGACGAGGGCGGGAAGCTGCATGGTGGACGGGACGGGGACTGTCGTCTGGAAATCTGGAGGAGGTAGGGACGGGGGATGGAGCTGGGGATGCACCTAGTCGGTGATTGCTTGGCTGTAGTCGATCCCGGTGAGCTGTCTCGAACGCCTCAGCACAAGAGAGGCCATCGTGGAGAACGGGGACGATTGCGGGCTATTTAAGTCCAATTGGTCTTGGAGACTTTCGACTGTTTGTTTTTTGCTTTGCTTGTGCAGTTCCCACAAATGGGAGAGCAATTGGCTCTAGGGCGGATGGATCGGTGGGAACCCAACTTCCAAGACAAACCGCACCCACCACGAGTTCAAGACATGATCCCGGGAGGGTGTGTGCGCGCGGATGGTGGATGGTGGATGGTGGTGCGCGTGTGGTGCAAGTGGCCCGTCCATCGTGCTAGCGGGAATGGAGGGTCAATTGGGAGGAGAAGGCTTCACGTCCCCGCCAATCCCTGAGTCGTGATGATCCTCCATCAGGCGGGTATCGCTGTCGTGATGGACCTTGTCTAGCAGGTGGAATAAGACGGGGCAGAATGAGAGTGAGTAAGAAGAAAAAAAACGCAGAAAATTGGAAATGCAACGTTCCCCATGGGGTAGTGGGGCCTTCAGTGCCGGGGGTGCGAGATGTGATGCATCTGCTGCGAATTCGTGCCCGGTAGAGGGCAGCCGAATGACCACGGCAGTTCAAAAGACCAGCATCTCTCGGGAGCGTCAGGAAACCCGCAACGGGAATCCAGCCTTGTGACGTAGCAACTTCACATGGGAATATGCGCGTGTCGACAGGGCCATCGCATTGCGCTTTTTGCCCACTTCGGTATGTCGGGCGGCAGAATCTGGGGTGGGTTGCATTGTCCATTGTCAGCGCGAAGCTGCAGATGCGCAAGACCGACTATACGCGGTCAGCACAGGAACCAGGGGTGGTAAGGTAGACATGCGCAAGGCGGTCAACACTGGCGGCGTGGAAATTCATGCATTTTGCGTCCCTTCTCTGCGCCGTGAGCATGTGATTGTGAGACCGTTCCGCCGACGGGGACACCAGGAACCAGGAACTCCGTCCGAATGAGGAACTGATGTTCCTCTGATCTCTCGAGATGTTGGTGTGTTCGCGTGCGCGCGACTCAGCGTGTGTGTCTCCAAACGTGTCGTGGTGGTTGCGAGCGGGTGAGCTTGCTAAGCATAGGCGCCCTGGATCTTAGCACCTACCACCTCCAAAGGTAAAAGACATGCTGCGCGGCACACAATAGCGTTGTGCTACAGACGTGGGCCAAGAGGGGAGGTCCCAATAGTGTCCGCCCAAATCTAGGTGGGATGCATGGATGCATGGGTTGGCCGTAGTGGGGGTGGAATGCGGGGTGATGGAGATGGGCCTCACACTCCCATTCACAGTTCCATCTGCGCATCCAGAAGCCCCATCCGAAAGAAGGTCGGCTGACGCAGATCGACGACCTGGATCCCTGTACCGGCACTAGCACGCCCATCCACGAGGCGCAACGACTTCGGATTTGGTATCCAACCACGGTAATGCGCTCCGAAAGGCTGTGGGGTTCTGGATCGGATTCACTGCGAAAGAATCGAATACCCCCCTCCACTCCCTCTCTCCGTTGTCGCCAACTTTTTTGCTTGACCAGGCTGCCAGCTGCTCGTAAATTGAATTGGGGCCGCCAAAAACCGTTGAGGTTGCGCGCGGATGAGGCGGGAAATTCCACCAGTGTACTAGCTCCAAAGCAGAACATCCACAGAAAAAAGAAGCCGGGCCAGGGGGAAACGAATGAAATCTCCATCTCAAAAGTGCACCACACTGCACTAGCAGTAGCACCTCGGCGGGGAGCATTAGTGCCAGCCTCCCAAGTCTGCGCACACCTCGTACCCAGAACCTCACTGGCCGGCGGGCAGCGAGGACGTTCCCGAAAGCGAGGACCGGGCTCGCGATCTGCGAGACACCACATCACGCCCGCTGCCCAATGAAGAGGGCCATCGACGAGGCCCTCCGGCTACGACGGGTCGTGCATATCTCCAAAAGGACTGTCAGCTTGCTCTTTCTCGTATGTTTGGCAGTCCGAATTGAGCTTCCAGCTCGTGCGGGACGTTCAATCTGTCCGAACACCTCGGTCCGAATAGTCTTGCCTACTAATCACTTGAAGAGTAAGACACGCGACTGCTTTGACGACGTTCCGGAAGCATGTGTCTGGCATGTCCGAGAGTTCAGGTAGTCCAGCTGCGCGCAGCCGTCCTGTCAAATGTCGAAAAAAGAAACGCTCTCTGCATGCTCACTTTCTTCTTCCTCTTTTCCTACGCAAGCTTGTTCAGTGGGAATCTTGGATTTCTCGGTAGACCCAGGGAAATCCGAGCCCCGGTACCTGCCGGGGCCCGTTTGCGGCTTTTCCACACCGCTCCCGGGAGTCGTTAATATAATGTTGCGGGGTCGAAGTTGGAAGGTGCGTCACTGTTCGCTTCTCAACGCGTGTGGAGCCGCAGCGATAGAAGCGCTTGCAGGATCCGTTTGTGGATTGTTTCTTTTCAGCATCCCTTGGGTCAATTTGTGTGACCTGGGACCCGGGACCAATTTTCCTTCTTCTCGATGTGAATCCCGCCCTTCTGAGCGATTTCGAGCGTGCCAAGCAACAGCCAGAGGGTCTCTGCAAGCATTCGTATCCGCAATTGTTGAGGAACTAAGGGCGTTAGATTCCTCTCAAAATCAGTGCGCTAGGAGCCAAGATTGAACAAAATTTTCTCTCTGGCCGTTGAATTCCGTTCGCAACTGGCATGTCGTCGTCTAAACTCTTTCCAGACAACGTTGCGAAACCGTTCTTCGAAAAAGGCTGTAAATAATCTGGGTTGGGGGATCGAGTTCCGCGTGCAGTGCCACGTGCGGGACGTTGGCCCTAGCTCCCGTCCATTAGTTTAGGGTTCAGGTGTGTGTTCAGTGGATGGACGTGCTCAGCGCATAGGTTGTTTTTGACTGTCATCTGTAATGTCGCCAGCCGTACGAACCTAACTAGTAGAGTGCTGCATCGAGAGATTGGCCGGATTCGTACCTGCGCTAGGTCATCCAGTAAGCTCATTGAGGCGATTGTCGCGATCCAGAAGACCACTAGATATCCAGTTATCCGCTCCATTCTGAGTCAGAAGAGACATTCTCGGAAGAGACCCAGAGTGGAGCCCACTGCTTCTCCGCGCACAAGAAGGATGTCCTTGCATCACTTTTCGGTCTCTTTTAACCCATCTCACGATATGCGCAACACGCTGGAGTGGCAGTGAGACATGTAAGGGAGGCATGTCAAATTTAAGCCGGTGTCACGGGGTCGATTGGCACCTTTTAATTGCTACTGCTACGCAAGCAGGTTGGACCTCGTGGCCCGCTGTCGATTGACACATAGCACACTGCCCAACACGTGGCGAGCGAAAGATGTTTGTTGTGACAGGAGCATTGACGCTGGAACCGGAGAACCCTTCGTAGAATGTTCCAACCGGCGCTCTGTCCCGTCCCGGCTGCAAGCGACCGATCGCAATGGCGGGGCCGATCGGCCGCGTCGGCTGCAGACCAGCTGGCTTACCGAGACTGACCGAGCCGGTCGGAAACCCACCTGGCTCACCTGGGCGACACCGAAAAAAGAACCAAAAACACGCGGAAAACAATGCACAACGCGCACGGATCGTTCGGGACCCTTGGACCCCCTTTTAAGGTTCTTCTAAACTGAAAAAAGGGCAGTTCAGCGGGTCTGCATTGACCGTCCAGCGAATGGTAAGCGCCAATTAAGCGAAATTGGCTGCTCGAGCTGCGGCAATCGCGAGGGGTAAGGTGAGTCCAGTGTCGCGCCCGACATCGCGATCCAATTTTTCCCCTTCTCTCTCTTCTCACAATCCACACACCACACCAGCACAAGCTGCAGATCCAATCCATGACCCTCCTTTAGACTCGCATATCGGCCGCAACCGCGGCTGGTCCATTCCTTATCTCTTATACCAGCCGAAAAAAGGCCCTCAAACAACGTCATTCCTTACGTATCTATCCAAAGGGGGACGGCCGGTTGAACCCAGGCCCCCCTGCTCACTCTTTTGAAATCACCATGCGCGGCGCCTCTCCTTCATCGCCGTCGCATCTTTTCCTCGTCGTCGCCGCCGTAGCGTCCCTCTCCTCCCTCGTCCTCGCCGACGGCACCGTCTGGGCCACGCCCCACGACAGCTACTCCTCCTCCGTTGGCGTCCTCGGCTGCAAGATCAACACCGACCGCGTCGCCTACTGGCCCGGCTCTGTCGACTGCAACAACATCTGCATCTCCCTCAGCTACGCCGACCGCAACCTCAAGCTGCTGCGCATCGACCAGTCCCAGGGCGCCTACGACATCTCCTACGATGCCTGGAACTACCTCTACACCGGCAACTCCGCCAAGAAGCTGCCCGTCTCGGGCGGCCCGCTCGCCATGGAGTACAAGGAGCTGCCCGCCGACGACTGCAAGGACCTCATCAAGACCAAGAGCAAGAAGCTGCCGCTCAGCGCGTCCAACAGCATGAACTTCCTCGCGAGCTGCCTCGGCCAGGCTGACAGCTGGGTCGGCAGCAACTACGCGCTGTACAACATGCTCGACTCGGTTTGCTCGTGGGGCTACGACGAGAGCTGCGAGCTCGAGGACTGGCCGAACGCGAACCAGCCGACGTGCAAGCACTCGCTCGGCATGCCCGTGGAGCTGAAGGACGCGCCCGTGTATAATGTGCAGTACCCCTCCGGCGACGTCGTCGAGGCCTCGACGGGCGAGGTCGTGTCCACGCCCGGGGACAGTACGAGCGCCGCGGTGCCGTCGCCGACGACTTACAACAGCATGCAGAACGGGGCGTCGACGATGGGGATGTTGACCATGCTGGTGTTTAGTTCATTCTTCTGGACGTGTTTTGTGTTGGGGTCATGTTGAGATGTTGTTTTGTGAATGATTTTTGTGAAACGAAGTTGGGAAGCGAAAGATGATACCACAAAGATACCACTTACTGATGTCATACGACGTTAATGTCAAATATTATTACCACATCAAATTGGCGTGCCATTATCTGCGTGAATGTCTCGGGCGTTTCTTTGTTGGTGACGATCTCGACGGTCGCGGCCGAGACATTGGAAATTGGACTGACACAGACGGATCGACGCCGTTGAGAAGTCAGATGTCTCATCAATCATCTCGGTAAGCTCTAGGGTACCGCTCGGTAAGACAAAGACAAATTTGATCATGGTTATTTTGCGGTTCCAAGACTTAACCTCAAAGAGTCACGTAGACCAGAGCATTGGAGCAGTCGATTAAATGGGGCTTGATTTTCAGTATTTCTCACTAGGCGGGACGCTTTTTTCTAATCAATAATGCGAAGTGAAAGGGCAAGAACAGATCTGATCTGCACAGGCTCCAGATTGAGGCGCTCTGAACAGAAGTCGCCGGTCACTGATCAATAAACATCTCAACATTCGTCTTGAAAAGCCTCAACTTGTCCGGGATCCGCTGAAGGGATGGGGCGCTCTTCCTTTCCGCCCATATCAAACGGGTTTCGTCCTAGAACCATCTCCAAAATGATGCAAAAAGCCACGAACCCGAAAGCCATCGTCAACAACCCAAGAAGTTGTGTCACGAGCCATCCCCAGTCCCCGTTGATGGCAACCCAGACAGGGAAGCAGATGAACCCATATATGGCGCCAACTGACATTGGCGTCAAAGACATGACACCAACAACCTTCCAACCAACAAGCAGAGACCGGTAGCGATACGCCAGGGCCGTCGCAAGGAACACGCCGATGGAGTTGGGCGCCATCCACCACCAAGGGAACATGTTCAGAATGACCAGCGGCTGGTTCCCGTAGTAATGGTACACCCCCATCGGCAGCAGGACCTCCTCCACTACAAGGTCCGAAACCATCATCAGGCCGAGGAACCACCACAGCATCTTCGTAGAAGCGTTGTTTACGAGAAGCTTGAGGTTGATTTGCATCAGCGAGCCGTAGCCGAACCATATCAGAATCCAGGGCGGCATCTCGCGCCCAATCAGGTGGAAGGAGGCGTTTTCTGCCGACCAGGGGTAGTATATGCAGCCGAGGACGTCGATGAACGTCTCTGGGAAGGCGATCATGGCGCCGCTGAGCGGGAGGATTAGCAGGAGGAGGCTGCGCTGTTTTTGGGCGTCGCGTGCGCCGAGGACGACGGCTGAGAGCCCGATCAGCGTCATTACTACCATACAGATGATGTTGTCTGTTTTGGAGTATGACAGGGCGGTTGGTGGAGTGGGAAGGTCGAATTTGGCGTCGACATCGTAATCGGGACTTCCTCTCTCGGGTAAGGGATGGCGATATGCGCCAATGAACACCAGCGCTGCCGTAATGACGATTCCCACAACCAACGCTGGAGTTCGGCGAGGATTCGACATGATGAATGAATTGTAGGCAAAAGACTGCCTTTAGAGACGTTTGGGTGAAAATATAGAGTCTTGACGTGATGGGTACCTATGTTTTTGCTGGCAAACAGGAACAATTCAACGTGCTTTAAGATGGAAACACGAAGCGCTTTCGACGTTTATATAGAAGCTGTCGAATCCAGAGCGGAAGCATCAACATGTGGATTGGCTTTGAAACAGAGCCCTCGCCACCAAGAAGACATGATGTTGAGTAACATCATATTCCATGGGATAGGCAGCTCGGGGCCGAGAGGCGGGCCACGACCCACAACACGCCGTCATTCCAGACCCACCTCGCGCCCGCAAAGACCCGTGGTCCAGACGGCAGAGATCGTTCCAAATTTAACTTGTCTGCTCATTCGGTTTAGTCCAACTCTATGCTATCAGTTGAATTTATTCACACAGCTAGCCAAAATCTCGATGTCTTTACTACCGCGAGCTATTCCTCAAGGCCGACGTTGCTCCATTCTCATCCCACACGATCCAACCGTTTGCCTGCGAAATGATAGCCTGCGCCTCTTGAAACGAGACTGGAATGAATGCTCTGCTCTCCCCATGCTCGCTTCATAACCGCGACCAAAGATGTATATAAACAAAGTGTTGTTGGTGTGGTTATGCGCCATGCCTCTCCCCTAGTAGCTTTACGTCCTCGACCTTACACTGACGTGGAACCCTTGAGGCTTGACGAACCACGCATTGTGAGTCTTCCACGTCCCTGCAGGCGCAGCAGCATCGCCCTCGAGCTTGAAACGAAGTCGCGGATGATCCTAGGGATGAGCTTTGAGATTTCGAGGATGGAAACATTCTTGCCAATGCATGTACGCGATCCCAGTCCAAACTATAATGGTGAAATCGGTTTAGAATCCATGCACACCAATAAGACTAAAAGTGAAGGGCAAGACAAAGTGAATAGGGTCTTACAGGCATCCAATTTCTATTCATCACGGAGAGCCTCTGCTCGTCTTCAATCAGCCAACGGTCCGGGTTGAAGCTGTTGGCATCCTCTCCGAAGAAGTCCTTGTTTCTGTGCTGAACCCAGCCATTGATACCAACAACGGACTAAAAGGATGCAAGAAAGTGTCAGTGAGTCATAGTTACCCCACGATATGCGGAAGAACATGAAGGAAACATACCCCTGAAGGGAAGAAGCGTCCGGCGATGGTGATGCCGCCTGCGGGAACGATGCGTTCTAGAGGCAGTCCGACAGCGGGATGGACGCGTAATGCCTCCTTGATGACAGCTTGGAGGTAGGGCATCTTTTGGCTTTGCTTGAATGTCGGTGACTGCGACAGCTCCCCGCGGCTAGTAAAGTCTGCAAGCTCTTCGCGTAGCTTAGCCATAGTGTCGGGATTCTTAAGCAAGTTGTAGAGAATAGCAGAGATACTGATTCCGGTGGTGTCAGACCCGGCGACCATATTGGACATACAACCGTTCAGGAGATGCCATTGTGTAAACTCGTCAGCGTTGCTGGAATGCTTGGCCAGGAACTTGGTCAGGAACGCTTCTCCAACGGCCACGTTGTCTTCGGCACCCTCGACGTCGATGACCGGCTTTGGTGACGCTTTCTCCTCCTCGATGGTTTTCGCTGTAAAGCTCAAGATATAAAGCAATTTAGCTCCCATACTTAGACCCGGAACGACCTTGTTCAGTATCGGTGTGATGTACGTGTGCACGAAAGGAAAGATACCAGCTAAGCTCATGTAGACTAAGCTCTGGTTGAGATTATCAATGACGTGAGCAGCGTCTTCGCCGCGGTCCAGGAACCCGAGACGTTTTCCGTAGGTCATTAGCGCAATGGTGTCGAAAGCGTAGCATTGGAACCAATGTCCAATATCTATCGTCGCCCCAGCCTTGGAGAACTCGGAAAGCCGCTGCGCAAACAAGGCGCCGCACTCGTCCACGTACGGCTCATAGCTGATAAGGGATGTCATAGAGTATACGTTCGTGTAGAACCGTCTGTTACGTGCATGACGCTTCGCCGAACGCTCCGAGAAGAGATTCCATAGCTCTTCGTTAGGTTGGAACGAAATATACCACTCCGACTTTTGAAACTCTGTGCCGTGGCCATAGATCATTTTGAGGGCTTCCGTGTCGTTAATGCTGTATCGGTTTGGGCCATAGCGGACGATGGGGCCTGGAGAGAAACAGGAAACGTAAGTAGCCATTTTACTGTCATCAGCTCAGTGTCCCTACCGTATTGTTCGTGTAGATTCTGATTGACCTTCTCAAAACCTCCTTGTTTGAGACGGTGGAAATACCAAAAGTCGGTGAAGCGAGCCAGCGAGGGACCAGGTACTGATCGCAAGGGGGATCGAACCCACCGAACATAGGAATAAAGAACCTGTGCCAGCAGCGCAAAAGCTGCGGCGGCCAGTACGAGTTGGGCGCCCATTGTAAAGATATATGATGAACACAGAGATAAAATTCCCAACGCTGGTTGATAGAGCACCACACTCTGTTCAACTGATGACTTTGAGGCCTTCCTGAGAAAGGGAAGGATACCAGCTACAGATATTTATGCTCGGCGTACCGGATCCGTATTTTGGGGTGAACATGCATCATCACCGCTTATTAAAGTCGACATGTACGCAATCAGCCCGCAGCCCATCTTATAGTTAAATCTGTAAAGGCATACGGCTTACAACTATCATTGGTGCATCACTTGAAACGAGTCATAGACGATGCTGGATTATGGAGACGTCTCGGCACCGAAGCCATGTTCAAGTATGGAACATCTGTAGCCTTGGACCGTACCAGCTGTGCATGGATGTGGATCAAAAAGACTATACTTCAAGTGGAATCGTGAATCTGAACACCTACTGTAGGAGAGCTGCCATCCAAGGATTTGGGGGTTCTTGGCATTAAACCAGGAACCATTGATCTCTGCCGCTGTTTTAGGGGGTTTCGGCGAGACGACAAGACACGGATTTCAAAGTTGTCCGAAACCGACATGCGCCCCGCAACATGACATGCCAGATAGCGTACGCCGGGCCGGGAAGCGAAAGGCGGCAAGCTCAACCATGGAGTAGGTCGGAGTTTGTCGTCGCCGTTGACCGTGGACCACCACGGTCGGTGTACGGCAAATTTCCAAGGATACGAAATGGTGGATTCATTATGTTAGTGGTCTATGCCATTAGTACTGATTCTCAACCCGTGGCTATGCGGGGAAACTCCGCAAAACTCTCTGCTCCCGTTTTCGATCGGGTGGGACGGTGACAGCCTCGGGTAGGAGGCTAGTAAGCGAGGACCTCGTACTCGCTCATCAGATCGATCACCTTGTCGATCCTCCGACACATCATCACCTCCCCACAGGTAGTTGTGGCGATTGCAGTTTCCTGCCAGGACTAAGTCCGCCCCTTCCCCTTTCCACCTCGGACACTCGTGATGGCCTGCTTTAGCACGCCTGTCGAAGCATCTCCGGTCTCTCCGCCGGCACATACACCGACGCCACCAGCAGTCTTCGATCCGCCAGTCGGACAACGGCCGCCGTGATGTCCGGTGACGTGACGCTACGAGCACCTGTTCCGCCTCTACGTCTCTGTTTACTACAGTATTGACACAGGCGTGATTCTGCCTGGTAAATATTAGTCAGGACGCGCGCGCATCAGTCTTTTGAGACCTCCACCGCGCGCCTGATTACACATGTAAGAACAGCCGCGCGCAACACCTCTTGATAGTGCGCTATTTTCAATTCTACTGACGGATTTCGGGAAGGGCAAAGAGCGCATCTATCAGTGACATACTCATTCGACCTGGGCAACGATCAAGATTCAGCCTTTTCACTTGGGTCTACATATAGTTCCTCCCGACATCATATGTGTGCGTCGATTGGCATCCTTGGCACCTCGTTCTTACTACATTTCCAAATCGACTACTTCGTACATACCAGTCACTGAGACATCATGACCATCTCCTCTGATTCGACTGCGCCTCTTATCGCCGTTGTCGGCTCAACGGGCCTACAAGGCGGCAGTGTCATCAACAACCTAGCGCTGTCGGATAAGCCGTACCGTATTCGCGGTCTCACTAGAGATGCGAAGAAAGACAAGGCTCAGGCTCTTGCGCAGCGGGGTGTCGAGGTTTGGACCGTTGACCTGTCCGCCGACAATGCCGAAGGAATCCGAAAGTCATTCCAGGGTGCAACCTATGTCTTTGTAAGGTCACTTCTTCCCGGGTCGCTGCTGTGTTGTGATGCGTCGAACGCGTGCTAATTGCCAAGCCTGAAGTCATGACCAACTTCTGGGAGCACGTCGACAAAACCCGTGAGATAGCCGAGGGCAAAACCTTGGTCGAGGCAGCCCACAAGGTCGGAGTGAAACTGCTCCTAGTCTCCTCCGAACCCAACGCTACCAACGTGACAAACGGAAAGCTTACAAAGGTTTATCATTTCGACTCGAAGGCGGAAATCTCCGACCATGCGCGAGCCTTGGGTGTGTCCTTCGTCGACATCCACGCCGCTGGGTACATGAACAACTTCATTACGTTCAGTCGTCCCAGACCTGCTGGAGATGGTTCTTATGTTGTCGATGGTATCTGGCCTGAGGACTTTCGGATGCCGCTCCTCGACACATATCATGATTTTGGTTTGTTTGTCCAGCTGGCTATCGAGTCGGATGAATTCAACAGGGGAGATGGCAAAATCATCTGGGCCTACGGGGACCAGGTCACTGTCCCCGATCAAGTGAAGAATATCTCCACACTCACGGGCAAAAAGATTGCGTACAACAAGGTTACCGAGGAGCAAAGCAGGGCGGGTATGGTGCAGGCTGGCCTCCCTCCTTTCGTTGTCGATGACATGATCGAAATGTTCAAATTTCATGAGGTCTGGAACTCCGCCTATGCGGCCGGTAGTCACATCGAGCCTGCCAAGCTGGCACGTCGACCGCGCACTTTCAAGGAATATGTTGAGAATGAGGACTGGAGTACTGTATTCGTGTGATTCTGCTTTTCCTAACGGGTAGGGATGTCAGGATTTTAGTACAGAGTCGAAGGGGCAGGAAGAGGGCCTTGTTCAATAGAGACGCGAATTGAGAGGCTCGAATGATCATATTCTTCGTGTCTTCAACTCGATGTTCTACTCGCCATAGGCAAACAGAGACATGGCGATTCGCTATTCAATTTCATAGTCACATGTTTGCATTCTCTCATCCAACCCAAACCCAATCTTCTCTCCTCATCCACTGTCCAAGAACACTTCAACTCAATGTATCACCCCAGATTTGCGGATACAGTTTGAAACAAGGGTTGACAGAAAGGTAAGCAGCATTAAATACGCCTCGGCTCCGGTTCTCAGGCCGCACCAAGGCGTCCACAAGTCTCATGACTTGGTGCGCTCCTCGATCTGCGCCGCCTGGATGTTGGCCTCGAGCTTCTCGTCGGTAATGCTCGGGGATCTCGCGCGTCCAGCCGTGACGACGTCGCGGCCGCGCATCTGCGCCCACACGGTCTTGTGCGTGGGCTGCATGAAGAGGGCGTCCATGTCTTCGAGGGTCAGGCCTGTGGTTTTTGGTGTCAGTGACGAAGCAACGATGGTGCAGGTTTATGACACAGGTGAGAGAGAGAGGAAACGCACCCTTGGTCTCCGGAACGAAGAAGAAGGCCCAAATGCCCATGAGCATGAGGATACTGCTGAAGAAAAAGTAGGCGCCGTAGCCTAGATCTGAGATCATGTACGGAGTGGAGCGCGCGATGATGAAGGAGCCGAGCCAGGTTGTGGCGGTGGTAATCGAGACGGCAAGCATCCTGATCTCGAGGGTTTGCACTTCCGAAGCGTAGAGCCAGGTGATGCCCTGCCATGTGGCGCAGATGATCACACCTACGACATGCGTCAGCAAACTTGAGGGACCAAATGCGAGGTGCTCAAAGTCTTACCGTTGATGTACACGCAAACCATGGCCAAATATGACCAGCCATCCCGGATGATAACTCCAGCAGCCGCTCTGGCGGCAGGATCCGCGCCTGAAGAGGCAAGTCAGCTTCGTCAAAATCCAACAGAGCCATTGTGAACTTACGCATGACGTAGCCACCGATGTACCACATCGGAATGCATCCAAGGGCCGAACCCCAGATAAGACCCTTCCGTCGACCAACCCGCTCGGCAACCCAAAATGTGAACAGGAACATGCCAAAGGTCTTTGCGATGCCGTAGAATCCCGTGGAGAAGAGCTTCGTCGAGGTTCCGGTGATACCAAGACTCTCAAAGATGCGGGGGGCGTCTGTATCGTACGCATCAGAAGATGAACTTTGCAGCAAGGACCTTGAAGATACTTACAGTAGGTAATAATGTTTACTCCAGTGAAACTTTGCAGGAACATCAGCGCCATTCCGAGACCCATTCTGTTGCGGATGCCCTTCTGGAACAGCTTCTGGAACATCTGCTTCTTCGTCAAGCGGTTATTCGTGCGCTGCTCAACCTGCGTGCGGATATCATTCATCTCGCGGCGGATGTACTCGTGGTCCGCAGGCAAGCCCCTCAGCTTCACAAGAATCCTCTCCGCAGCGTCGAAATGGTCGCCCCTCGCCAGCCAGCGCGGAGACTCGGGGCACCAGATCATGCCCAGCGCGAGCCCCAGCCCAGGCACGAGCTGGAGGCCGAGCGGGACGACCCACTGCGCGTGGTTGTTGACGTTGATGGTGCGGTCGGTGGCGTAGTTGATCCAGAAGCCGAGCATGCCGCCGCCCTGAGACGCGATCTCGAAGATGCCGACGAGGCGGCCGCGGATGGAGGGCGGCGCGGTCTCGGCGATGTAGACGGGAACGGTGAGCGAGGAGGCGCCGATGCCGAGTCCCGCGATGGCGCGGCCGGCGTAGATCATGTTGAGGGAGCCGCGGGCGGCGGTCATGAGGGTGCCGCCGAGGAGGAAGACGGTGCCGGCGAGCATGACGGTTTTGCGGCGGCCGAATTTCTCGGCGATGGGGAACGTGAAGAGGGCGCCGAAGAAGCAGCCGGCCTGGGGGTAGCGGTTAGCTTGAGGATTTGAGGGGCAGAAACGGTGGTTTGTACCTGGAAAGTTGAAACGATGTTGCCTTGGATGGTATCTCTTGCGGTGGTGCTGACCTCGTCGAGGTGGAAATCGCGTCGAAAGGAGTCCAGCGCCATGGTTCCGCCGATGACGGCCGTATCGTATCCCACTGAAATCCGGAGTTAGCCATTTGTCCCTAGGTCCGATGAACGCCGTGCTTCGGGTCCGAATGATCCACTTCTGGCTGCGTGGCTCCCGAAACGCGGCGGCGCGGGCCGGTCGCAAGCCTCAAACCTTATCTCAGGCAAGAGGCGGAGAGCCGAAGTGTTCTAGAACACCGTGACGCAGGTTGTCCGCAACCTCAAAGAAAAGGGAAATCGATGACATACTGGCCAGAGCCGACATGCTAGCAACCAACGCAATCAAGTGA